TGTGGTCAACAACTGACACACATTATGCGCCTATCGTGGTCTAAACCAATCAGAGATAGTCAGGGGCGGGACCTCTCTGATTGGTAGTTGTCCTTCGTTTGTACGTTTGAAAGTGCAGGCAGATAGAGAGAGGTCAGTAGTTTGAATAAAGCGATATCAATTCATTAAATCCTGAATCAGCTTTTAAATATTGTGATATCCTAGAACTCAGGAACCCCGGAGACCATGTTGACCTCACAGTCACTTCTTTATTACATTGAACTGGGGCATGCGCCACACACACTGACACCACTCCTCAACAACGTTTGCCCCCTGGTGGACAAATCCTTGTTACAACATAACAAATATAAATGTATTTTGCCAGAAACGCCAGAATCTCACGTTAAAACTCACAAAACTATTTCAACAAACAGCAAATGAGAGCAGGAAAACGGATTCTGCTCAAAGAAGTAAACACAGACCCGACGCATCAGAATCAGCTTTCTCACCCGAGGGCACGGACACGCCGTCGGGGCTGAAAACCGACAGCTCACTGATTCTGATGCGTCAGGTCCGCGCTGTGTTTACGTCTTTTTTGCGCGAGATTCTGAGCTGCAGGTTTTATCTCTCTCCAACCAAAATTCACTGAACCAGCAACAAAAGAAGATCCAAACTACCCTTCACATTTGAAAAACATCGTCATTTACATTTTTCATTCGCTTATTACCCACCAGTCTACCGTCCTTTTTTTTTATTGACTTAAATGGCCGCAAACTAGAAAGCCTAATTTTTGCTGTTCAATACTGAAATTTTTTAAATTAAAAATTATGCAATATTGCAAAATATTTTTAAGTTTATCTGCTATAAAAAGCCAGGCCAGGAAAATCTCCTTCATGTTTTTCTGTGTTTTATCCTCAGTTACTTTCACACAAAGGCATCTGCTGTGATGCTCACACCTCTGATGAAGTCTCACATGTATCAGTACTGATAAATGATCAGAATTATAATATTTCTGACTGTCTGAGGCTAAATTGAATCGAATCGGGACCTTGTGAATTGGAATTGAATGGATTATAGAAATCAGTGATGATACCCAGCCCTAGTGAGCAGCCTAGGCCCGACAGAAGTGGATGTAGCTGTGGGTAATGAGAAAAGATGAGAACGATTGATAACTTTTTTGTTAAGTTAAGGCCTGATCTGTCTGAAATTCATAGCCAGCTCTTACATGGAGCCATCAATCTTTGAATGCTGAAAAAGCAGCAGTGTATCCAGGAAACACATTATATGCTGCAATAAATGCACTGCCCACGTCTCCCCTCTCTCCATTGCCTTTCAGTGGCAGGCAGCAGCAAATAGGTCGTCAGAGGAGGCTGATGTGATGATGAAGTTTAACATTACCTACGGTATTGCCAAAGAGTGCCAAAGCACTTTAAGCACAAGCAGTTTGTCAGTAACTTATCTTGTAGAAATGTGCTCCAAATAAAGAACTTTGTGTTGACAAGATTTTTAGTTAATCATTTACACATTAATAGTGTCTGTATGGACAGCAAGTCCAAGACTAACTTATTTGGTTCAGATGGTGTCAAGGGTGTGTAGCGGCAACCAGGTGGAGTACAAAGACAAGTGTGTCTTGCCTACAGTCAAGCGTGGTGGTGGGATGTTTGGATGGATGAGTGCTCCTGGCACTACAGTTAATTGAGGGAACCGTCCTTAAATGGAAGGTGGAGGAGTGAAAGGTCTCCAACAACCACCAGATCCATGATGTCATCATGGAGGAGTGGAAGAGGATTCCAGTTAACAGAGTTAAGGCAGTGTTGGAGAATAATGGTGGCCACACAAAATATTGACACTGTGGGCACCGTTTGGACATTTTCACTTAGGGGCATACTCACTTTTGTTGCCAGCAGTTTAGACATTAATGGTTGTACGTTGAGTTATTTTGAGGGAACAACAAATTTATACTGTTATCCAAGCTGTACACTGACTACTTTACACTTCATCAAAGTGTCATATCATCAGTATTGTTCCATGAAAGGATATACTAAAATATTTACAAAAATGTGTCTCACTTTGGTGAGATACTGTGCATGTGCATATACTGATGCTGGAAGTCAGTTTCCTGCTTAAGTGGTGTCAACTTTAATTGCAGACCTAGGAACACATTTCCATTACACAAAAGAGTTTCTTTTCTAAAACGGCAGCCATCAGTGCTCCTCAGCCTCCTACACCTGAATGTGAAAATCCTATGTGGCTTTGAGGTGACGGTAACCAGGATTCAAACTCATCTGAGATTTTTAGCAGATGCACCTATACTATAAATTAGAACATTCTAGATAACGTCCTTTTTGAACTATCGCATTTAGAAGATTTTCAGAAAACTCGACCTCTGACCTTGACCTTGAGGTCGAGGTCACCGGGATACAAACTTTAGAGAAGTTTAGATACCGATGGTTTCAGTTTGAAAATCCTACATCGCCTCGTTCTCAAGTTATCGCATTCACAAACTCGGGTGTCCACAGGGTCCACTCAGAGGCCTTTAGGGGAAAAAATATGCCCCCTATTGTTTTACATGTTGCATGTGATGAAAATTTAAATTAGTATCACAAATCTTTTTTCTGTGAAAATGGATTGACAGCATTTCTGGACGTTGACTACGTTCAATTTTGAGCAGTATAATTGTCTTTAGAAACTTTAAACCGTTGAATATTGTATTATTTCAGACTCTTAATGTCTTAAAATTGTGGTCTTGTAACTGGGTCATAATTCTATTCTTAACTACTCACTGTATATTTCTGCTAGGTGAGTGTCTTGGTTTGACTCAAGCTGTTGGCGAACCTGTCCTGTTGGAGCCCGGTTGGACAGGCAACAGAGAGGAAACTTTGCCCTGTGATGTCACTTGCAGAGAGCAAACAGAACAGGTTAGGAACATCGAAGAAGAAATCCAACTCCCTGCTGTTCCACAGAACTCACTAGAGTCCCAGAACATTTTCACTCAGCCTGACTCACATCAGAACAGCCTTGAGTTGAACTATGAACCAACCAGTCAGTCTTCCTTTGACCCATATGGCTTTAAACTCAGCCCAGAGCATTCTAGTCACACTCTTTTAGACCCTGATGAAGATGAGTTGAGTCCAGAACCTCCTGACGATGATCTGACCTTTGACCCTGAACCCTGCTCTTCTCAACATCAGCTGAACTTTGATGCCTACGGGTTTGACATTACCTCCTCCCAGATGATACGGGACTTTGATCCTTATGGCTTTAAGCTGAGCCCTGAAGAAGAGAACCAGGAAGTGTTGGATCCCTGTGGCCATGACAACC